CACACATATATATACATAGACACATACACCTTAAAAAATATCTTGGCAAACAAAGGTACCTTTTTGAGTGATAAAAATATCTTCAATATGTAAATATTTTATTGATGATTTTTTTTTTTAAATACAATCTACTATATAAATATATATATATATATATATAGTTTTATGGTACCAAGAACTAAACTTTGATCTTCTAGAATTAAAGAAATACCAAATTACCAAAAATTATGGATAGTTTAATTAAATTTTTTTTATTTAAACATGGTCTTATCGAACTTATTTATTTATTATATAAATACGAATAAAATTCAATTATTATCGACTATAGATTTTATATTCGGATTATAATTATTCTAATTAAAAAAATATAATATTATTTTTATCGAAAATTATAATAAATTTATTATATATCGGATTAAATAAATTAAATTAGAAACGTAGGGGACAAGTTTTAGAATAAATTTGGAATTAAATTTGTACTTAAGACTTTGGTAGTGCATGGGCGCCGGTCGTAGTTAAAATTTTTTGCTTAATTTGCGGGCAAAGCAATGGTTTACTATTTATAACCCACATGACCACTAACATATGTTCATACATACATATATATATATATATATATATATATACATACACACATACATATATGAATAATTTATTGAAACTTTATACTTTTGTGAGGTTAATTTTTAATTTGTGTAATTAAAAAATTGGTGGAGTTTTTTTTTATTATTTATAAATTACAAATCCAAGTTATAATTATCAATGATTACTTCTTTAGGGAAAACCAAGTTATTAGTAATAATTATTTCACTGTTATTTTCATTATAATTATAATAATAAATTTTAATAAAATTTGTTTCTTTTTTTTTGGGTAAAATAAATAAATTAAAATTTTATATCTCGTTATAATTATTTTAATTAAAAAATATTTTTAAATCAAAATAAAATTCAATTTAATTGTTATAATTTTATTAATATATTATTAGTTAAATATTAAATTTTACATAATTAAATATTATAAATTTGTTGTTTGTTCATTTATAATATATTATATAAAATTAAGGAGATCTAATGGTAGAAAATTAAGAAGATGTTATTATAAATAACTAATGAAGTCTTGGGAAGTAAAATTAAGAAGATAAATATATGTATATATATATTCGTGTATATGAGAAAAATATGAAATTTTTTATTCAAAATTCATAATTTTTAAATAAAATATGATACAATATTTTATTATTATATCATAATATTCAAATTAATACCCATTTTTCAACATTGTGATTGGATTTGGATTGGATCCAATCTTCTTGAATTAATATTTAAAATTACAAAAAAAAAAATAAATTAAATAAATAAATAAAATAAAACTAGCAGTCTTCATCCATGTGCAAATTCTCTCTCTGTACTTTTTACAGTATATAATAAGCAGTGGTTTATGGTGAGTGTCAGAGTAATTTCGGCCAAATCAAACAACAGAGATCGAAACCCAGCATGGGTTTCCCTCTTCTTCTTCTCTCTCTGTCTCTGTTTCTGTCTCTGTTCAATATTCAAATATTACTGCTACTCGGCCAGGCCTCTTCTGCACCGAATCTTCACTTACATTTCAACGCTTCCGCCATTAACAGCCTGACTTTCAGCTCCAATTTGTTTACTTCCAGGAAATGTAATTGGTTCAGAGGCAAGTGGGTATACGACCCTTCATACCCTCTTTACCCCCCTTACTCCTGCCCCTTCATTGATCCACAGTTCAACTGCCAAAAGTATGGCCGCCGGGATAATTTGTACCTCAAGTATCGATGGCAACCTTTCTTCTGTAACTTACCCAGGTAGGTTCTAAATGAATAAATGTGTATGTTATTGATGTTGGGTGTGTTGTATGAGTATGTGGGTAGGGTGGTTTTTACGTTATGATAATTGGATTTGCAGGTTTAATGGGGTTTATTTCTTGGAGAAATGGAGAGGGAAGAAGATCATGTTTGTGGGTGACTCACTGAGTTCAGACATGTGGCAGTCTCTGGTTTGTTTGATTCATGCTTCCGTTCCAAATTCCAAATACTCCTTCATCAGAAGAGAAGGCCTTTCTTCTGTTACATTCCAGGTTTCTTCATTCTTCTTCTTCTTCTTCTTCATCTTCTTCCTTGAATTTTTCTGTCTTTTTTTTTAAATTTTTTCATATTCAAGCATTAAAAGATGGGAACGTGATTACTGGTGGTAGACTTTCTTGAATTTTCTCTTTCATTTTCCCGGATTCAAACCTTTCAACACCCTCATTTTCTACTCCCATCAATTTCAACTCAAAAACCCTCTCTCCTTTTGAACATTCAAGCTGGAAGTGAATTAATTATAGGGTTTTCTGTCAACACCCTGTATACAGCTTGCAACACCATAAAATTCTCTTTTTTTTTTTTTTTTTTTTTTTAAAGATCAAAAGGAAATTTCTTTCTTTCTTTCTTTCACTGTTCTTTTGTTCTTCTTTCTGCGCCAAGATTTCAAAGTCGTTGATTGGAGTTCTAAAAAATAAAAAAAAAAAAGCAGGAGACTAAAATTATTACAGTTGATATCTTCTAAAGTAAACTAGGTCACTCTGTCTAATCTATGGCGTGCGTCAATCCACCCCACTAACAGTCGCCATTTTTGTTTACAGGTGGACCAAAACTTTAACTTTTACTAAACCCCAAACTTCTTTTTTTTCTTTACAACAAAAAAAAAAAAAAATTCACTTTTCTCTACATCAATTTCGTATTTTGTTAGGTACGAGTGAGTGAATGAAAATAAATTATTTTCTCGGTAAGTTCTTTTTTTTTTTTCTTGGAGACCAAACATGTGCACAGGTAGATGAACTATTTTTGTTTTCTTCTTCGTGCTATTTAATTCTGAGCTTAATTTGTAGTCAGCCAAAATACATATTTTCCTGCTCATGAAATGACAGTTAATGTTGCAGGAGACATTTCTGATCGAACAGGACAAATTATATTATTATTTTCTCTTCCGAATCATTTGGGTGGAAAAGAAAATTAAAGATTTGAGTTTTACCAAATCTGAACTCAAATTATTTTTATAAAAAGTAAATTCAAATCTTTCTCGAGTTTCTTCAAATCTTTTATTGGTTCTTGATGTGGGTTTGATTTAGATTTACAGATTATCTAATTCAAATTTGATTATTGTACTATATTAGGGTTAAATTCTTTAGTTTTTTTTCTATAAAAATAGTGAATTTTATGAACCACAAGAATTAAAAATTTGGATTTAATCATCCAAAAAGTATGATTATATGAACTTAATTGGGTTTATAAATTAAACTGATTAAATTAAATACCTGTTATATGCAGGATTACAGAGTTACAATACTGCTATTTCGATCACAGTTCCTGGTAGATCTTGATAATGAAAGGGTTGGACGAGTTTTGAAGCTGGATTCGATTAAGCAAGGGGAAGCATGGAAGGGGATGGACATGCTGATTTTCAACACGTGGCATTGGTGGACCCACAGCGGAAGAACCCAGCCGTAAGATCAGTTGACTCTCGATTTGACTAACACTTCAACTTGAAAAACACCAGAGAGATTGAACTTATGAAGTGCAGGTGGAATTACATGCAAGAGAGGAACGTATTGTACAGAGATATGAACCGTCTGATAGCATTTTATAAAGCTCTAACAACATGGGGAAGATGGGTCAACCGCAACGTTGACCCATTGAAAACCAAGGTGTTTTTCCAAGGAGTTTCACCTACCCATTACGAGTAAGTATATGCGTATATGCACTGTCTGTGTAGATGATGTATGTATAAGTGTTGGGAACTTGGGGGAGATGGGTCAACGTTAAGGTTGACCCATTGAAAACCAAGGTGTTTTTCCAAGGAGTTTCACCTACCCATTACGAGTAAGTATATGCGTATATGCACTATATGTATAGATGATGTATGTACAAGTGTTGGGAACTTGGGGGAGATGGGTCAACGTTAAGGTTGACCCATTGAAAACCAAGGTGTTTTTCCAACGAGTTTCACCTACACATTACGAGTTAAGTATATTTATAACAACCACTATATGTATTTACATGTGTTGGGAAAGTTTCTAAAGGTGAAATCTTTGTGGGAACAGGGGCAGGGATTGGAACGAGCCATCAGAGTCATGTTACGGACAGACTGAGCCATTCTTTGGGGGAAGATACCCTGGTGGTGCACCACAGGCTTGGGTTGTGGTGAATAAAGTGCTGAGTAGAATAAAGAAGCCGGTGTATTTGTTGGACATCACCGGACTTTCCCAGTATAGAAAAGATGCTCACCCTTCTGTTTACAGCGGCGACCATCCGGGTACAGATTGCAGCCATTGGTGCCTCCCTGGCCTACCTGATACTTGGAATTTGCTCCTCTATGCGGCTCTCTTTGGCTGACTATACACAGCAGTAAACACACCAGTTATGTTGTATTTATATTTGTATTTAGGGTTGATTCAGTTGGTTGATTAAATTACTAGTCGAGCCTCAAAAAGAAAACCCATTGTTTTCCAGTCTAGGATCATTCTTTTCCATGTTCAAGTGGGGAATAAGAGGCTCTTTCAATTGTAAATCTAGATTATCACTCTTGTTGTAGCATTGGTATACAACTGTGTTTAAATGGAAGTAGAAACTGAGTTTGAAACTCATGATGTTTCTTTATATATATATATGTATATATATTTCTATTTTTAGAAATGTCCATGAATGGGGTGCGAAATTGAAGCAAACACTGCATCTACAGGTTTGGATAAGAAGGAAAGTATTATGTGGGATGCACACGTGTGCTGGGTTGACTCAACACGTGTCATCATATTAGAGTCACCCCCACGTGTGATCATGAGGTAGGCTGACTCATCTTCCCAGCTTGGACTCCATAACACGTTGCATTTCTGCAACCAACACATGTCCCTTCTCCGTTCTTCAATTGCCTTTACTTTCTCTTTTTAAATTCCGACAAAACCCCACCATGAACCCATCAAGAAATTTTCTGTTTGAGAGTTTTGATTTAGCGAAAATGGCGTCGGATCAAGTCGTTCGTGTAGAAACCACTACATCTGAGCTAGAAGTTCCAGTGGAGAAAGACAGAGTCCCCAAAATGACCAGTCACTTTGAGTCTCTGGCCGCAACTGGGAAACAGAGGGAAACCCATGAGTTGGGGACTAAGTTCGAGTCTCTGGCTGATAAAGTCAGAGACATGGATGTTTCTGCTGAGCAAAAGGACACAATTGAGGAAGGAGTTGATGAAGGAAAGAAAGAGCCTTATTATGCAGATAAATTTGAAGTGTGTGATGAAGAAGACCAGAGATGCATAGAGGAGGCTAAGAGAAGAGGAGCAGAAACGGAAGGTGGAGGGAACGGGGAGAGGCAACAGCAACCTTCTTTAGAAGAGATTTCGGAGCTTAGAGGAACTGCTCAGCAGAAATCAATGGAGGCTATAAGGGCAGCAGAGGAGCGTTACAACAAGGCCAAAGAAGCTGCGAGTGACAAGCTTGGCTCTGCAGCTGAGTATGCTAAAGAGAAGGGCTCCCAAGCAAAAGATACTGTGGTTGAAGGTGCTGAAAGAGCTTCCCAGCAAGCTGCAGACAAGGGTGCCCAGGCTAAGAGTACTGTCCTTGAAGGTGCTCAAAAAGGCTCACAATATGCCAGAGAGAAAGGTACACAGGCAAAAGACACAGTCGTTGAAGGTGCTCAAAAGGGCTTAGAATATGCCACAGAGAAAGCTACTCAAGCAAAAGACAGAGTCTTTGAAGGTGCTCAAAGAGCTTCGGGGCAAGCGAAAGAGAAGGGAGCAGAGGCCAAGGATACTGCCCTTGAAAGTGGCCAAAAGGCCACGCAGTATGTCACAGACAAGGCTGCCGGAGCAAAAGACACTGTCGTTGAGAAGGGTGCCCAGGCTAAGGACACGGTCGTTGGAAAGGGTGTCCAGACTAAGGACACTATCGTTGAAGGTGGTCAAAAAGCTTCACAATACGCCACCGAGAAAGCTGCTCAAGCAAAAGACACAGTTCTTGGAGGTGCTCAAAGAGTTGCACATCAAGTCACAGAGAAGGCTGCTCAGGCGAAAGACACTGTCCTAGAAGGTACCCAGAAAGCCAAGGAGACTACAACTGAGAAGGGTCAACAAGGTTACAATGCCGCAAAGGATACCATTTTGAGCGCCAGAGACTACACCCTTCAAAAAGCAACAGCAGCGAAAGATACTGCCGTCGACGTTAGCAAGAAAGTCACTGGTTACGTAGAGGAAAAGGCAATGGGGGCCAAAGATGTGACGGTGGAGAGTGGAATAGGAGCGGCTGAGTATGCGGGTAAAGTGGCTGAGGATTTGAAGAACAAGGCTGCTGTGGCAGGTTGGACTGCCGCACATTATGCGACAGAGAAAAGCGTAGAAGGGACAAAGGCAGCAGGGACAGGGTTGAAGGGAGCAGCAGAGTATGTGGGTGAGAAGGCTTCAGGGCTGGTGGGTAAGCCATTGAGTGCTGCTAAGGAAGCTGTAGTTAGCAGCGGCGACAGCATGAAGGAGTACACTGGTAGGAAGAAAGAAGAGGCAGAGATAGCAACTAAGAGATCAAGTGAACAAACACAGGTATATATATGTGTGTATAAAGGGTAAGAGTTAATTTATGTTGTGGTTGTTGAAACTAATGAAATTTGATTACAGGAGGAAAGAGAGAGGCTTGAAAAGAAAGAGGTGAAGGCAGAAGAGGAAGGAGGAGGAGGAGGAGGAGGAGGATCTATACTCGGTGCTATTGGGGAAACTATAGTTGAAATAGCTCAATCAACGAAAGGACTTGTATTGGGACAGGACTCATCAGAAGCAGAGACCAAACAGGAGTGAGATATAAAATTTTGAGTGTTTGATGTGAGGAAATGGGTGTTTTCTTCGTTTGTTTTTCTTTTTGGGCTTGGGGAGAGAGAGTAAATAAGCTGGAATTATGTGTTGTAATTTTATTTGCCATGTACTCTTGTCTCGTCGTGGGTGTTATGATCTACTGTAGAATCATGGGATAGCTTTACCACAACTCGTCAAACTAGAGAGAATAAATGAATCTGGAATTCTTAATAAAGAAGTCTACCATAAACTTTTGGACTATGTCTGAGCAAGGTAATATCATTCAAAGTCATTGAGTTCGAATTTGAGAGTTGG